ACGCGTGTCTGGTTTTCGAGTTAGAGGGCTAGAAATAAACTGCAACCATAGTTGGAGGGCCAAAAATGGACGTTTTCCTTTAAACTTTGAGAGCAAAGCATGGCCTTGAGCTGACAAAAAAGGAAGCCTGCATCATATGGTATGGATGCTGGTTTCAAGAAGTTAGAAAAAAATGGGCCGTGTCCCGTGGATATAAGGGAAAGAACAGTTTTTACCACCAGATTCCTTCATTATTCTTGTTGTTAGTACTTAATTGACCTGACTCGCGGTGAGCTTAGTAGTTAAACTAGTGGCACTTTTCTGTTCACTCTATCGAGACAGTGTCCGAATCTTTTTAATACTTCGATGTTGTCACTGCAACGAGGTAGTAGTGCTTTCTGCCCAAATGGTGAGACCAGCTGTTTTGAATCCGAAGGTTTGCATTGCATCAGACGTTTAGAACAAATTCATGGATTCGGCCAGGTCAGGGCAAACCAAACGCGTGAGTTGGTCCAGCATCAACCACCACCAGATTTATAGTCGTCTATGACAGGATCATTAGAGACGGTCTTACAGACTAGGGGGGGCTGTACTAAACCAGTGGTCAGTTAAAACAAGGGGAAAATCGAGTACGGACGGATGGCTGCATAGACAAAGGGGTGATGGTGATGGAGGATACGTGCCCAATTTTTTACAATTTGGCCCTTTTTTGAAGAAAATTTACGTTTGCCCCCCTAGGAGACGTAAACTCATCTTTGGACCCTAGGGGTCGGCGCCAGGACTCATGGCGCCGAGGTAACACGTCTCGGCGCCACAGATCATGACTCCGAAGTGCCTGGCCGAGCACAGCAGGGCAGCCTAGGTGGCGTTGACGTGGCCGGTACCTCGGTGCCAGAATACATGGCGCCGAGCTCGTCGCCATAGATCTTGATGCTGACCTTGGAGCCATGTATTATGGCGCCGATCATGGATTAACCGCGTGTGGCTACAGCTTTCTCTCTCGCGCTCTGTCTCTCCCTCTCACCGCCGCTGCCAGCCAGCGTCGCCGTCGCCCGCGCCTCTTCCGTCGGCTGCCGCCCGCTCCACCGCAGCAGGCCACTGCCCGCCGTCCACCCCGCGCCGATCGCCTCCCTCGCTCCCCTATCCACTCCCTCAGCCGCCCTCGTCGCCCCAGAGACTCCTCCGCGCGTACCGGCGGGGAGGGCGACCCCTGCTTCTCCCTGGCGTCCCCGCCAACCGCCTGCCATCCACCCTATCTGAGGTGCCGCCCGCTCCACCGCAGTAGGCCGCCGCCATGCTCCCGTCGTCGTTCGCTACCTTGCAAGGATCGCCGCAAAAGCACATGGGCACTGGAACACCACTAGGCAGAGGTAACGGGTCGAAAGCATTTTCGGTTATCCGGCCATAACTACAATTGAACCAAATTTGTTCTAAGAACCAAAAACAATGAACATTAAACCCTAAACTAGGGTTTTTCTATTTGTTGCACATAAATGAAAACATAATATAACATGATGATAAGAGATTACCTTGGCTTACTAGCCTTACCACGCCTTAACATCCTACCGTTACATAATACAAAAAATAAAAAAATCACTTCAAACATTAAGTACTAATGTATCTAGGGTTGCAAAATAGAGGTAATATATACCAAAGCAATGCGTAAATTTTGATAAGGAGAGAGATGATACCTTGCTCGCGAAGATATATGGATCAAATCCAAGTATCCAAGGTCAAATTCGTCGATTCAAGATATTGGGCGGGTTAAGGAGAGGAAGAAACCGAGAGGGAGGAGGAAGAAATAAGAGCAGCCTCGGCAAGAGAAACTTAGCCGCGGGTTTTGAATCCATGCTCGGCGCCAGAATACATGGCTCTGAGGTCGGCATCAAGATCTATGGCGCCGAGTTCGGCGCCGAGGTACCGGCCATATAAACGACACCTAGGATGCCCTGCTATGCACGGCCAAGCACCTCGAAGCCAAGATCTGTAGCACCGAGACGTGTTACCTTAACTCTATGAGTCCTGACGCCGATACCCAGGGTTCAAAGATGAGTTTAAGTCTACCAAAGCCAAACCTAAATTTTCTTTAAAAAAAAAGACCAAATTGTAAAAAACGCCGTCTTGTCTTCGTCTTCCCCCCTTGGAATCCTTTACTCCTCCCCACCTACAACAAAACACCGGGATAGGTAGGACACCATTATTGCGAGTGAAGCGAGCTTCCCCATCCCTGAATCCCACGGACACAGGCTGCTGTTCCTGAGAGGATCGTTCGACGATGCAGGGGAGGAGGAAGAACACGCGAGAGATGGCTCGGGAGCAGCCGCAGCCGCAACCGCCGCCGGCGCCGGCGCCGCCGGTGGCGGAGGCCAGCTCCAAAGGCCAAGCATGGCAAGCAAAGCAATCGCTCTCGTTGTCCTTTTGCCTGTGTGGTGATTTGTTGTTGTGTGATCTCTGATCTGCGCGTCTGTGCTCGTCAGGTTCTGCACCACAGGATTGCCCAGCGATGTAGTGATCGTGGTGGGCGACATGACATTCCATCTCCACAAGGTTGGTGAATCTTGCCTCAGGTCCTTCAATCGATTCACAAAAAATGAGCATCTCAATCTCTGTTCCATCTCCATATGCTAATCTTGTCAATGTCTCTGTCGTGAGTTGGCTGGGGCGGCCCATTTCATAGTCTCGAGCTGTCAGAAGTGGGAAAATTCGGCACTCTTTGATTTGATCCCAAAAGTTTGCTGAATCCGGTGCCTTTCGTGCAGTTCCCGTTAATGTCGAGGAGCAAGAAGCTTCACGACCTCATCACGAACAAGGAGTCACGCGAGGCCAGCCGGAGGGGCAAAGGGGGCGACCAGGAAGAGGATGCGGGGGAGATCAGAGAGGAGGAAGTGGACGTGGTGCTGGAGGAGGACGAGGAGGCGGACGTGCACCGCATCCGCCTCCCGGAGTTCCCCGGCGGCGCGGAGGCGTTCGAGTTGGCCGCCAAGTTCTGCTACGGCGTCAAGCTCGACCTCACGCCGACCACAGCCGCGCTGCTGCGGTGCGCCGCCGAGCGCCTCCGCATGTCCGACGACCACTCGGAAGACAACCTCGTCTCCCGCGCCGACCGGTTCATATCGCAGACCGTCCTGAGGAACCCCAGGGACGCCATCCGCGCCCTCAAGTCCTGCGAGGGCCTCCTCCCCCTCGCCGACGACCTCGGCCTCGTGTCGCGCTGCGTGGACGCCGTCGCCGCCAAGGCCGCCGCGTCCACGCCCACGGCGCTCTTCGGCTGGCCCATCGCCGACGACGCCAGGGACGGCGACCGCCAGCGCCGCAAGACCGGCACCGCCGCCGGGACCACCTGGTTCGACGACCTCGCTGGCCTGTCCTTGGCCACGTTCACCCGTGTCATTGCCGCCATGAAGGAGCACGGCGTCGGCCCTGAGGTCATCGAGGGGGCGCTCATTGCGTACGCCAAACGGTCCATACCAGGGCTGTCGCGCACTGGCAGGCATGTCGGCGGCGGTGGGGGCGCCGTCGCTGCGCCGCCTTCGTCCGATGGGGAGCAGAAGGCGCTTCTCGAGACCGTCATTGCCAACCTCCCCGAGGAAACCATCAAGAGCAGTGCCCACACCGGCACGGCCGTGGGCGCCACCACGGCGCGCGTCCTCTTCGGTCTCCTGCGTACGGCGAACATTCTCCACGCGTCAGAGGCGTCACGGGACATGCTTGAGCGGCGCATCGCCGCGCGGCTGCCCGACGCGGCCGTCGACGACCTTCTCATCCCGAGCTACTCGTACCTCGTGGGGACGCTCTACGACGTGGACTGCGTCGAGCGCATCGTGCGGTATTTCCTGGAAGGCCGCGACGTCGCTGACGAGGGCAATGAAGAGGAGGGCAGCGAGGCGGAGACCCCAGGCAGAGAAGCTAGCCGACGAGCCATGCTGGCCGTGGGGAGGTTGGTGGATGCCTACTTGGGGGAGATCGCGACAGATGCCAACCTGAAGCCGGACAAATTCTGCGACCTCGCCTGGGCGTTGCCGGACGGCGCCCGCGTGTACGACGATGGCCTTTACCGAGCTGTCGACATCTACCTCAAGGTGAGGGAGCAGCGCGTTCTCGTCATCTTCTTGTTTGCAAGCTTGTGAAACAATGCCGGTGCTGATGAGTGATGAATGCTTGTTTTGGCTGATCTCTCTGCAGGCTCATCCGGGTCTCAGTGAAGAAGAGAAGGAGAAGGTGAGCGGCGTGGTGGACGGGCGCAAGCTGACACTGGAGGCCTGCACGCACGCGGCGCAGAACGAACGGCTACCGCTTCGGACGGTCGTGCAGGTGCTCTTCTTCGAGCAGCTCCAGCTACGCCGGGCCATCGCGCGTACCATCATGGCGAACGAAGGCGGCGCAGCCGGGTCAGGGGAGGAAGGCGGTGAGAGCGACGGTGGCGGGACATGGCGCGTGGCGGCACGGGGCAACCAGATGCTGCGGCTCGATATGGACAGCATGCGGAACCGCGTGCAGGAGCTCGAGCGCGAGTGCACGAGCATGAGGAAAGCCATCGACAAGATGGACCGGCGAGGCGGGGCACCGGTGGATAGGGGAGCGCCGTCCGTGCCGGCGGATGGGAGGTGGGGCGCGATAGTGACGAAGCGGTTCGGGTGCAAATTCCCGGCGCAGGTCTGCCAGTCGCAGCAGCGGACGGTGGTGGCACGGACTCGCCGGCCACGCATTGAGCAGAGCCCCTGAGTTCTTAGCCATTGCACATCCTAGCTTTGAGTTCATTGTTCTGTTCTCTTGATTCTTTCAGAGTTTTCCCTGCGCGGCATTGTGTCCTTTTTCACTGAGATCATTGAATTGCGTATTAGCAGCGCACAAATTGTACTTGGAAGTCAGTCATCTTGCTGGCCAATACATCAAACTACAAGTTGGCTAAACCAATTCTTTCATCCTTCTCTCGCCATTAACAAGTGTCACAAATTTACAAACTTGTTATGAAGAACTCAACCTGCGTGTGATCAATTGTGGTAGCTGCTGAGAAGGCTTCCTCACCAGTAGTCTCCGCAGGAGCAGGCGCCGTCCTTGAAATGGTGGAAGCGTTTGTTGTCCCTGACGACGATCTCGCGGCCGGTGACCTTGGCGATGAGCTTGACGGCGTTGTGGCAGTCCCCGCAGATGCGGAGGTTCTTCATGACCCGGAGCGGCGTCCCCGGCGGCGTGCTCACCAGGCCGAACGCGATGGCCAGGCGCTCGCTGTGGTACATGAGCGCGCGGGCCTTGGCGTCCTCGTCGATGTCGTGGAGCACGTGGCGCGTGTCCGGCACGTACCCCGCCGCGCGGATCTGCGCGTGGAGCTCCCGCACCTTCGCGTACGCCTCCGCCGCTTGGCCCGGACCGCCGCGTCCTCCTCCCTCGCCGGAGGCCGCCGCCTCGGCCGCTCCTCGAGGGCTCGCCGCGCGTCGCCGCGGGCGCCGAGCTTGAGGTACAGCGTGGCGATCCTGTGCAGGACTGGCGCGGGGATCGCGGACCCCGGCCTGGACGAGAGCAGGCGGTGGGCGCGCCTGAGCGAGGCCAGCGACTGCGTGTCGGCGCAGGCTTGGAGGAGGGCGGCCTGCTCCTCCGGCTCGAGTTGTTCGGCCCTGCCTCGTTGGAGCAATTGGTCGAGCAAGCTAACGACGGGCTCCGGGTTGGGTTCTCGGCCCAGCTGCCCGAGCTCGTCGCTGTCGAATCGGGAATCGATGGGCTCCGGTGAGCTGGTAGTCGTGACAGAGGCGGAGGGTACGCTGTATGCGAAGCGGAGCGCCGGGCGGCTACGGTCGCGGTGGTGACGAGAAGCCGTGCCGGCCGGTGCGTGGAAACCGCTTCGTCTCCGACCGCGGATCCCTGGACGTGTGGGCGTGGTGGTGCTGAGAGTGGAGGAAGGGGAGGTCCAAGAGGCGGCCGGTGCTGCAAGTCTCGGAGAAATCAGCATGTTTGGCGGTGGCATGAGGTGCAGGCGGAGACGGGGAGCGCGCAGATATCAGAGACGCGACAAAGATATCCGAGCTGGGTAGAAGAAGCCGCAGCCGCAGTTCGGTAATTGGACTGGGCCTGGGAGAAAAGGTTTCGCTTCGCCCGCTGGCGCCCGTTCTATTTGGGCTGATGTTTGTATTTGACCTCAATTGATAGTTCAAAGAGGTCGATATAGAAATTATTTTTTAAATATAAATACTTTTTTGAAAAATAGGAAAAATAACAATCTTAAAATTTGATTTAATTATAAAATTCGTAGCGTTTTTTTATCTCAAAATATAAATTAATTTTAATTTTTTTTGCAAAATCATGCTCTGATTTACCGATTCAGTATGGATTGCCGGCGAAACAATGTAAGGTATCTGGAGTTCATGATGGCATTGGACACACCCAGGCTGAAATGATTCAGGTGCTTGGTAGATTCATACTAGTATACTTATGTTCACGGTAAGTGCTATTTGAACTGTGAAAGGACCTATGATGCCGCCTAGAGGGAGGGTGAATAAGCGTTTCTGAAAATTAACGCCTTTAAATACGGAAACAATTAGAAAAGGGAGTTTCCAAAATAGAAACTCCAAATTAAGAGTAATACCACCCCTCACAAGTTAGCCACAGAGTAAACAAGGTATAAAGAATATATCTAGAAGCTACAACCCTGCAACACAAAGTTAGAACAGAGATCAAATAATATTCAGTCCTGAGCTCTAATACCGGACGTGGTCGGTATGAATACCGGACATGTCTGGTATACACGATTTCTGCAGATCAGCCCCGAACTTGCTCCTTTCGATTTCTATCTTCAAACCAAACTGCAGGCACCTACTAGAGATGATAATATACACAAATAACCTACACAAGAGCTGGAGCAACACAAATATCAAATGAAATGCGAATTGAGACACGATATTTATTTTACCGAAGTTCGGACTCGTTCAAGTCCTACTCTCCGTTGAGGGGGCTGCGGGAATCAACGAAGGTCACTCCAGCCGGAGTCTTTTTTAACTCATTTTCCTCCTTCCACTAGTTGATTCCGAGGCGGCAGAATCGACCGTTACAAACATTCCGAGGCACACCACAATCTCTCGGGTGCTCTCCAGCGACACCTAGTCGTCTAGGACCGAAGAGTCCAAGAGTAACAAATGCAAATCACGAGATTGACAATATGCACAAGTGCTCAAGTGGTTGGATTGCTCTCTTTTTGAATTTCACTCAACCCACAATTTGATTTGGCAAATTTGATCAATCACTCACTAAAAGAGGGTTGGGAGAATTGGCAAGGCTCAAAAACGTATGTGTATATCAGCAGGATTAGCAGCCTCCAAAGGTGGAGGCTTGGGGGTATTTATAGCCCCTTTGAAAAAACTAGCCATTTTATAGCTGTTGCCATACATACCGACTTACACTGCCCCAGCGGTAACTAAGTTACAATGACAATGTGAGGCGTCGGAACTCTCGATGAATGCCGGAACTCCTGACCGCCAGAACTCCCGACCCACGTCGGAACTTCCGACCCTCAGCATATTTGAAAAACATGTAACTGAGTTAAAGTATGTGAGGTGTCGGAACTCCCGACTCATGCCGAAACATCCGACCGTCAGAACTCCCGACTCACGTCGGAACTCCCGACCCTCAAGGCTTTTGACATCTAGTCATTGGCTTCTGGCCGTCTATACCAGACACGTCCGGTATGACCAGGACAGTGAACCTTCTAAGTCAGTTAAGCGCGAAACGTCGGAACTCCCGACCTATGTCGGAACTCCCGACGAACCAACCCGAGAACAATAAAAAATTTATCGTGGCTTGGCACATACCGGACACGTCCGGTATTGCCAGACCAGCAAAACATAAATTAGCTCTTTTGTCTCTTAAACACTCAAAACTCACATGGGTTGGCTTGAGCACTTATGAAACATTATCTATCAACATGATGCATTTCTCTTAATAGTACGGCATTCCTATTAACTCAAATTTAAAAGTATAATGAATTTAAACCTTTTGAGTTGATCTCTTTCAACCGAAGCCGTGTATTCCAATCTTCATCAAGTGAGGGTGCCAACATGTTGATATTGATCTTTTCACTTGAGCATAGCCATCTTGAGCACGTGACTTGATTCCATTCATCAAATTTGAATAATCATAAATGTATCAAGTCACTTCCATCAAACACTCCAATAGTGATTTGATCCTCCACATTGACATGACCATCATACCTTGATTAGTACCTCAACTAAATACAAGTACTTCCTTCTTCACCCTAGCTAGGTTCTTCGGCCGCCAAGCCGTCGCTTACCCTTCACCCTTGCTTAGTACCTCGAAGCCTTTCCTTGCTATCTTCACCATCTCAAGCCATCAAGTCACATCTTGTGTTGAATCATCCATTCATTTATATTATTATCTTTTTCATTTTAATTTAGCAAGCTTCAAATATGAGACCATTCCATATGCAATCCCTCATGTCTCATTAATTAATTCTTACGAGCTTGCTTTCACATAGTACATGGAAATCCCACAATAAATAAGCCTTTGTATGAATTCCATTTGCATTGTTATCTTGTGCTTGAACTAGATTATTTATACAACAATACATCATTTTGGCTTTCATTAAGTACCGGTGAGATAACCTATTACCTGTCCACACTTAGCAAACGGGTTAGACCTTTAATCACGTTGTCATTCAATCATCCAAAACCCACTAAAGGGCTAGATGCACTTTCAATCTTCTCCTTTTTGGTGATTGATGACAACTTGATTAAAGCTTACAAAAGAATATAAACATTTAAGCTTTTAGGTTCAATGATTTATGAGAGGCTCCCCTTAATATATGCTTATGATTAGAATTTACAAAATAACCTTAAATGTCAATTGCACATACTAAAACATATAGGAGACTCCCCCTAAATCATTGCATCCGTGGGGTGCATGTGTGTGTGACAAAGTGAAACCGTGATGCATATGACAAGATATATCACACAGGAATAAATATAAAGGCATCACATCAAATATTTTCATTCTAGCATGCATAGTCCTTATGAAAAAAATACAACACATGTATGTCACACATAGCACTCATTACACATTTTCTCAAGTCCACAAGCCACTAATATATAAATAAAGATCATATCTCAAGAGATACATAGATAAAGCATAAGTCTCATCTCTCACATGATACAATCTATCTCAAACTCAAGAAACTAAAATAAAGCTCAAAAGATTACAACCTGTAGTACATATTTTTAGGTACAAAGATAAGCAAATGAAATAGAAATCCTGAAGCTTTAATCAACCTCTCTCCCCCTTTGTCATCTATCACCACAAAGGTCCAACAATGACATACTAAGGACAAAGGGGCTGCAAGCTGTCTCTGAAAGCTATGATTACACATCATCATCTTCATCTCTACCAGCATCCTCATCATTTGAGCGTGTAGCACCGGCTGGACGAGAACCACCCGCACTAGACGGGTCATAGAAACTACCCGTGAGGTCACTCCACCAGTCTGAAGCATACTCGTCTGCAGCACTAGGACATGGCTAAGAGTGAGCAGGCACCCGAGCCTATAGTGGTAAAGTGTCAGGGTGCTCTAGAGCCTGCTACTGCTGCTGCTGTCTCTAAAGGAACTCAGCAAACTCTGTGTCATACCTGCCCTGCTACTGCTCCTCAGTCTTAGGCTCACTAGCAGCCTCATCTGATAGTGGAGACCTAGGAGGATCAAGCTCAAGTCTAGAAGCAATTTGCTTCAAAGTACGAGTATCCTTCCTCCTAGCCTCCCTCTCCATCTGCTGACAGGTCCGTATGTCCTTGCACATCCCAAAGATAGCACTGAACATCTTGCGAATGGGAGAAGGAGGACTGCGACGATGTGAAGAAGAATGTGAAGGAGCATATGGTAGAGGGGAAGCTCGTCCGGCTACTGCACCACCTATAGGTGCATCTGCCTCTGGTGTTGCTGCTCCTCCTCCTGGTCCTACTGGAGGTACCCAACCTCAGATAAATCTGCAATAATCTTCAGGGCCTTATGTACCTTGTCATACACAAAGGTATGCCCTATGACCTGCTCAATCATGTGCATGATGTAGGGAGCAAAACCATAGCCCTTGAGGGGCCTCTCGTCGACACTCCTGATCTCGCACCACATGAAATCAAAGACGCTAAAAGGTCGTGCATTAGGTGCTATCATGTGGAGCAGGTTCCTAGAGTAATCTATAATGTTTCCCTTGTCTCCACCCTTGCAGTCAATGGTCTTCCTGAATATCCTGTCCAGGTATCTATAGGTACGGTGAAGACCTAAAACCTTCCCCACTGCTCCTCTCTCACCTCCTGGTGGATACATGTAGGCCAACTGCTCTGGAGGCAACACCTACTCTGTGTGGATCCTAACTTTCTAAAGATCATCATCTGAGAAGCCAAGTAGAGCTGCAAAAGCATCATAGTCAACACTGTACCACTGGCCCTCAAGCATCCAGTGCATACGCCTCTCATCCTCCTCAACATACAGAGTGGCATAGAATTGAGCAATCACCTCAGTGTTCCAGTCATGCTAGAACTCCATGATCTCATATACCCCAATATGCTCACAAATAGCAATAGCGTGATCAATGGAGGCCTTCTGCAAATCTCTGATGTACTGCCAGTCAATCCACTAAGACCTGGCAATCACTGGGTTTCTGGTGAGGATCACACTGGTGTAGTAGTCCATATGAAAGGCTGTCTGAAATCGATGATCAAACTAAATCCTAGACAAGCCCCTTGGATCAATTCTTCTTTCATCTCTAGCCCTTCTGGTCATGCCTTTCCCTTGATAGTCAACTCTAGCAACATAAGAGGGTACACTAGGTGGATGTGGCTCAAGTAAACCATAGTGCGTACCCTGACCTGGCTGGTGCTGAGCTAGAGGTACTGCCTGCTCCTCCTCAATCTCTTGCTCATCATCTGAGCTGCCACCATCTAAACCTCTGCCAGTGCTCTTCCTTTTTC